TGTACTTTGTTACTTTTACTTGAGTAAAGAAGTTTAATCAGTACTTCCACTTTTACCAGAGTATTTTTTAACACAAGTATCTCTACTTTTACTCAAGTACGGAAAGTGAGTACTTTTGCCATCTCTGTTTAAAACTTATATAACTTCACCTTAAAGGTACAGAGTCAGATTATGTGCCTCTAAAAAACCCTAAAAATAATTTGATCCTGATAAAATAAGCTTATATGCACCAAGCATCTGTCCTGATAGTATTTAATCCTTTTTGAGCCTAAATAGAAAACCAGCAGCAGGAGCAATGAACAGCAAATATGGCGCCATCTGCTGGCAGAACAGCTGAACGATAAGAAAGCCTGGTGGTGACTAAACAGAGCCTGACTGTCCTGTAAAGCCTGATGGTAAAGCAACAGCTCAGCGTGATCAAAGAACAACTGATATTATGGAAATAAACAGATCTACACTCTAATCCTCCACAGAGCCTCTTATTAGAACATCGAGGAGAAGAACCTTCCTGTTCCTCACAGGGAAACAACACAAAGGAATTAAAAACAACCAATTGATCAATCAATCAGACTGAGAATAGTATTATTATACAATTAATATTTACTCGCACATGGATGAGCTGAGCAGCAGAATCTGAACTCTTCTGCAGCTTCACATCCCGCCTCAGTGAACACAACTGCTGCTGTAAATATACATAAAGATGTTTATTTACCAACAAACTTAGAAAAAACAAACCACAAAACCCAAAAATATAATAAGTATATAGGGATGCGGTAATCTTTCAGAAAAAAAATTGTATACAACCTGAGAAAATGACTGTTTAGATGAAAAAATGACCGATAATGTGACCGAGACCCTTCGATTCAGAGTAAACAGAGCAGTCATGGAATATCACAGTTTCAGGACTTAAATGTAACCTGAATTTACTGATATATGAGTTCCCTCTTTTATTGTTTTTTTTTTCTGACATCAATATTTAGGGAACGTTAATTTATTCAACCAGAGAGAAAAAGAACTCAGTTGTTTCCACCAATGACGGACAGTAGCCTCATTTAACCAGACAATCTCTATGAAGATTAGAGGCAGATATTTTTTTTTAAACTTATTTAATCTGATAACGTTTATTGGTTACACTAATATTACGGACAGTCGGTTCAGTTTTGTGAATCTGAATTCTGCAGCTCTAATCTCAGTTTCTTTTAAAAAGACGTTTCTTAGATCATTTCAAGCTTTCAATAGAAACAAACATAAGAAAAAAAAATCTCTGCTGCTCTATAACCCTCTATAACGTTTAGAAAGTTTTGATCCTCTGGAGCCCGAACTTTGGCTCCCACAGAGCCATCGTTGGGAGGCCTTATATCCTATACGTTTGACTTTCTCACATCTAAGAGCAGAAGAAGAGGAAAAGAATGGAATGTCCTAAAAACAGCAGGATGCTACATTAAATAAATATTTTGATTAGCAGGATGGTGCATCGAGGGTGGAAATAAACTCCAGTGTCACTCAATGACCCACTGAGACATGTCCTGTTTGGATTATCACTATCTGAGGCTTTATTTAGTCAAAGAGTCCTACATATATATAGAAATGTGTTTACAGGTCATCTGTTAGGCAACAGTTCATGACAGAGTCACAGCAGAACCTCGATTACATTTCTTAAAAAAAATCGATCCCTCTCTGTGGTTTTTGGTCAAACTTGGAGCTTAAAGTCACAAACTGGAGGCGTCGGATCCTCCTTCAGGCCATCTGGGTACAGATGTAGGACAGCAGGCCCAGACCATCATAGTCCCACCACCATGCTGTTGGCATGTTGCTCTATGTCAGGGGTAATAAACTAAAAATCAGCTGGGTCCAAATGAAGAAAATCCTCAACCAGTGAAGGTCTGGAGATATTTTTAATTATAATCTGTTACTTTAAACAGAATTTAACACTGAAATAAAATGAGGTTTTTATGCATCCATGTTATAAATTGAATTTTTTAATAAATAAAACTATAAAAAAAAAAAAAAAGGAAATGTTTCCATTTGAAAATCTAAACAACAATCTTTCAATTTGGTATATAGACAATTTCTTGCTTCACATATTTTATAAAAAACCTGTTATTTTTCTTTCTTTTTTCTGTCTTAATGTTGGCAGTGGGCTTTAGGCTGCCCTGCAAGGCTTTAAACCTGGGTTTAAATGCAGACTAAGCCATTCTCAAGCACATATCAAGGAGCTCATTTTGAGCCTGGATCCAGATTTATTGTTGATTCTGTTCATGGTGGAGAATCCTGCTTCACAGCAGCAGGTTGAGCCAAACATCCTCTAAATGTGCAGGGTCATCTTTGAGCACGCCATTTAACTTTTCTTTCACCAGTTCACTGCAGTTCTTCCAGCAGTCCACACTTTCTCTGCTCTCTTTTTCTCATGGTCTTCTTCTTTCCCATCACCCGGCTTGCTACAGGTTTGCCTGCTGTGTCTAAAAGTAGCAGCAGCAGCAACCCAGACTGACAGCTCATTGGCTCATTTGGATCACGTGCAGCCTGGAGCCGGACGCACCGGAGCAGGAGAAGCGGCGCAAGTGAAATAAGACAGTCGCCGGACAACATGCAGTAATTTATAAATGTTTTAAATCATGTTAGATCTCTGCTCTATGTCTTTATAAGGTCAGTTGTCACAAAACAGCGCAAGGAAATTCACCCTCTGGATTTAACCCTTGGGGAGGAGTGGGCTGCCATTTGCAGCACCCAGGGAGCAGTGCGGGGTTAAGGGTTTTTTTGTTTAGGGACCCAGTGTGGCAATCTGTGGGAGTGGATTTTGACCACTAGGTGACCACTCCCCGAAGATTCCAAGATTCTTGGAAATATTTTTTTTGTTCTTCTGTGAGCTCTTGCAAAATGTTTTTTGGGGTAAATTTGGTGAGAATAGTTTTGGATAACAGTCATCTGGTGTCATGATCTTGGCGCTGATGTCTGGCTGTTAGGAATCCAGTGTGTGTGGGCTGTATTTGTTTTTTTGGTGTTCTCTCCCTCCACCACCAGGTGGCGCCCTGTTCTCGTTGGTCCTCCCACACACCTGCGGCTGGTTGCGCTCATTCCTGAGGACTCTTAAGTGGTGGACTGCTACTACCTCGTCGCCAGAGTGTTTGCCAGTTTTGGGTACTCTAGCCAGCTGAGTTTAGTTGAGACAAACTGAGTCTTAGTTTCTCAGAGTTCTAACCTTGTTTTTGTCTTTGCCTTTTCGGCAGAAAGTCATCCAGCAAACTGTATTTTTGGTCTTCTCCCCCTTGAAGGATTGTTTTGAGCTTCACACTGAGCAGGGGATTAATCTCCACACGACCTGTTCAAGTTCTCCTGGAAATCTAAGTTGCAGTCCGCTCCATTGCTCCTCAAGGAACTAACCAAACCCAAAACCTGTCCGGCCTCCAACGAACCCCCAAATATCTGGATAAACCCACACCGACTGGATTCTGAGAAGAAAGCCTTTTTCTGCTAACGTGAGTCCCATTCATCTCTGATTTTTGCAAGACGTCGTTCAAAGTTCCCACGGACCCTGAACTAACCTCTGAACTTCCCTTCTCACTTCCAGTTCCGGTTCACCAGCTCTCTGAGTTACCCTGGATCCCCTTATGGATTATTTCAATAAACCTGTTCAACTTTTCCTCTGGTTCTCTGAGTGGTTTCCTGCATGTGGGTCAGATCTCTTAAAAACATCGTGACACTGACCTGTTCACTCATTTCATTCACCTGCCTATCTCCGCCCAGTTCTCATTACCGCTCCTCTAATCCACCTCCTTCCGCCTCTATTTAACCAGCCCTCAGTGCCAGAATATTCAAGCTTTTGGAGAGAGTTCTCTAGCGTTTCTCAGTATTTCTGATTGCCTGATCCTGACCTGTTCTGACTCTGGACCTCTGAGCCTGCCTGTTCCCATTCTGATCTGTTTGCTTGACCTGTCCTCTCACTCCTGCTGGATTCTGCCTGAGTATCAAACCTGGAACTGATTCCTCACACCGTCCTAGATTTCCTGTCAGTACCTCTTCGAATCTTCTGCTCTGATCTCCTGCCTGTCCTATGACCTCTGGGACTTCAGTTCAGTCTGTACCCTCTGGGCACAGACTGAACTTTAAGACCAGGTTAGTGACTCACATGTTCATTATCATCCTCCTCCAGATAGGCATAGTCACTGACCTGTGTTCTCCTCCTGCCTTAGACGCCCACGCTGATTATTGCACATCTGTATCTAATAAAGTTTTTAAGAAATCTGTCTGTCTGCCTTGAATTCTAGGTCCTATTGTTTTTTATCTTGACATTTGGAGTCTATAAAAAGTAGACTTTCCATTCTCTGTTGCTAATTTTCCAACTTGTGCCTGCTTCATGTTGCCAAACGGGCTCTATTTGTTTATGATTTGTTGTTATTTACAGGGTGGACATGGCTTGGGGAAACTCAATTAAACTTTCAAAAACTGAGTTCAGTTAAAGCCAAAGTCTTATTTTGAAAAGGATGTAGTTCCTTCAACAGGTCCAGGTTGGTTTTGATAATTTTTCACAATAATCAGTTAAATCATCCATTAACAAAATGTTTATTGTTACTTTCCCCTGGAATCAGTGAAACTAGAAATAATCTGTAACACTTGGAAACATCAGAAAGGTTTAAACACATTTCAAAGCGTTTTAGTCACCATTCGGGGACATGGGAGTAGAAATGTCTAAAGATGCTCCTGTTGAAGTGAAAACATTTTTTAGCCACAAGCTGATTATTAATTCAAAGCTCCCTGCATGATGTTTGGATTTTAAAATGTCTTTTTCTGCTAACATCTGTTTCCTTTTCCAGGCATCTTAATGTGTTCACTGTGTTTTTCTATGGACCTGAATGCATTAAAGAAGTTTCACCCTCGCTGACTGGGAGGAAAGCTGTTTGGGTCGGACTGAGCCATGCAGAGAGCTGGGCTGTGCTGAAGTGGCTCATTGTGAGCCGCGCAGCAGTGTAGCTTTAAGATGGAGGTGGGCAGCGCTTCATGACGCAGGAATAATCCTGAAAGGATGCTTCAAAACTCCAGGCTGGAGCCAAGCAGCGCGTCTGTCTGGGCTGCAGCTGCAGGGGAGCCAGTCTGCAGGATAAACTCGCACCTGGAGGGGGTCCCACTTCTACCTGCTCACCGGGTTTGCTGCGTGTTTGCAGCTCTGCGCGCTGCTGAGAGGAGCCACCTGGAGAACACATCCAGCGCTGCTTGGTTTGGATCTGAGGAGAAACTTTCAAAGCGGCGCCATGGCGCGTTTCACCGAACCTCTGCTCCTCTTTCTGGTCATCTTCAGCCCAGTTCTCACCGACTCTCCCACGGAGGAAATTGAGGTTTTGGCATTATTGCCACAAAATAACTCTTTTCTGTTTTCACAATCAAGAGTCGCACCGGCGATCCGTTACGCTCAGGACAGGCTGAGGGCGGATCATCCAGGCTTCCACTTCAACATCCACTTTGAGGACTCCGACCAGGTCAACCACGCGCTGTTCGCGCTGGCAGACCGCTCCTGCAGCCGCAAACCGGACCTGATCCTCGGTCCGGTCCGCGAGTACGAGGCGGCAGGTGTGGTGAGGCTGGCATCCCACTGGCACATCCCGGTGATCTCCGCAGGTGCGCTGGCCACCGCCTTCAGGGACAAGCAGAGCGAGTACTCCCAGCTGACCCGCATCGCCCCGTCCTACGTGAAGATGGCAGGGATCTTCAGCGCGATGTTCGAGCACTTCACCTTGAGGAGCGCCCTGCTGCTGTACGAGGACGACCGGAGGGAGCGGGACTGCTACTTCACCCTGGAGGGGGTCCACCACCTGATGGACCACTACGATGTGGAGGTTGAAACTATCCACCAGGAGCCAACTTTCAAATATGAAGACATCTTCAAGACCAATCTGGACATGGAAGGTAAACCTCAAACATTTCACTCTCTATATGAAAAAAAATAGAAATCTAAATAAATGCATATTTTGTTGAACTAAGCGGGTAAATGAGACACTTTGCCAATGCCACAAGACAATTTACATTTAAATTAAGAAAAAACAATTTCATGGTCTTTTTCAAGTGCATATTATCTAATGATCTTATTCTAAGAAGAAAAATTCTCATTCCATTGGCAGATCATCTTATTTACCTGCTCAAATTAAGGGTAAATACACTTAATTTAAGACATTTTTTTTCGATTTGCAGTGTGAAACATTACTTCAAATCTATATATATTTTCTTAACAAAAGTAAATTTGTTTTTGAATTGAGGAGGTAATTAAGACACTTTTCTATAAGAAAAAGAAAATTCACACAAAAAAATAGAACAAAAAAAAAAACAAAAAACAATTGCATTGTCTTATTATCTAACCATCTTAAAGGAATAGTACACCCAAATCATGATTAGCCTTCATTTTCTACTCACCCCCATGCTGAACAACACTCTGGAGTACTTTTTTGATATCTCAAATGCATCTGGAGATCTGGGAGGCTTCTTGCTGTCTGCTGACATTCAAATAATGGAGGTCTATGGTGCCCGAGACAGAAAGGTCCATAAAAGTCCACAAAAAACGTGTCAATATTCCTCCATACTGCTCGTCCAATGTATTCCAAGTGTCCTGAGTGGGTAGCGTCCATAATTTACTCGAAACGAAGTCATTTAGAATGTTTTTAGAGCATAAACAGTAGTGTATAGGATTTCCTGAAAGCGCGTTCACGACTCTACGGAAACCGCGGCAGACCAAACCAGATGAAAGTGTTTTGCACTTCTCAGCTACCGTAGTTTCTGTCTCCTTGAACCTCAGTCGTCCTCAGCAGATGGCCGCTCACACTGAGCCTTGTTCTGGTTCTGCAGGAGGTTTCTTCCTGTTAAAAGGGAGTTTTTCCTCTCCACTGTCGCTACAAGCATGCTCAATGCGAAGGATTGCAGAGAGTCAATGAGTCGATGCAATCAACTGGTTTTCCTTAGATAGAATTATTTTGAAGAATATGATTGTGTTACCTATATAAATAAATTTAATACTTTTCTAATTGCAGCTCTTCTTTAAGTGAGTCCCTCCTGGTTGAATTGAGGTTTGCTTTGAACACGTTAACCTGCCAGAATTCATTCTTGTCCTTTTGTTATCAACACACAGCAAGTACAATTTAAAAAGTTGGACTATAATAAAAAAAAACAAAAAAAATGTTTTCTCTTGGTTCAGAAACTCATATCAGATGAATTTATTACACAATATGAAATGTATAAAGCCTTTATTTCTTGTCTGTTTGTCGACTGTGGGTTTTAGACCATGAAAATCAAAAATCGAGTATCTAAAGTTAAACTAATTACATCAATTTAAAAAGTAAATTTTAACCAGAAAAGTCAGACGTCTGAAAAGTCAGTTTATTTTGCAGGTCTGGGCTCCTTTTACATGAATAATGACCTCGATGCAGCGTGGCATGGAGCGGATCAGTCCATGGCTCTGATGAGGTCCAGTTGAAGCCCAGTTTGCTGCGCTAGCTGCCCTCAGGTTATCTGCATTGTTGGTTTTGGTGTCGCTCATCTTCCTCTTGGCAGACCAGCTTCTCTAAGCATGCTGAGCTCTGGTAGCTGGTTATCTTCCCTGTAGACTTCAGAAAACCCAGTGGATAGTGGTTTCGGCTGTGGAGCTTTACTCTGGACTTCAGCTGAGTGGATCCCATAATCTGGGTTCTCCATACGCAGGACCTTGCTTTCCAAACTTTTTTATAGGATCATCATATGAACATTTTCTGTGTGGTGGCTCGGTTATTCTTTCTTTCCACTCAACTTTCAATAAAAACCCTAGAACCTAATAATAAAGCTCTTACTTGGAGTTTCTGAGAACCTGATTGTTTTCTGTTGATCTGGAAGCTTAAACGTATTGTGGAGGATTTTCCAAATATAAAAAAAAAAACCGCCCTCTCCACTTTTTAAAAAAAAAAAAGCACATGCACAACCCTGTACCCCCTCTCGAGAGCGAATGCTTATTAAATGCTTGCAAGAGCATACCCCCAACAGTACGGCGAGCGTTACGGGACAAAATGTCTTCCAGGACGTCCGCATCACCTACCTTCTCAAGTGATGAGGTTTGTTTACATAGATAATTTTACAGATAGTATTTCATTAGTCTGTGTAGGGTATAGATTTCATGTAGACTGTGATGGACCGAGTTAAAAAAAACAGGAGGAGTCACAGGATATTAGAAAAATAGGGTTTTTTATTTTAACCCAAAAAATAGATGACAAAAGATAAACTGAGCTCATAAAAGAGGTCAAAGGAACAAAACTGAACTCAGGCAAAAATGTAAACAAACTGGCTGTACAAACAAACATAACTGACCTACAAAGAAATGACAGACAGGGGTATATATACTGGCTGATCAGACCAATTTAGACACAATAGGGGTAACTAAACAGAATACAATTACAAACAAAACAAATAACAGTACAGCTAAGTTTGACTAAACTAAAGACTCACAAAATGAAAATCAAAACCATTAAAGTCCAAATACCAATATTCACCTAAATGCAAAAACTCATCTAAAGAAAGAAACTACACATTCCCCCGCCAGCAAGGACCAGTGGTGCAGTCCAATCAGCATCCAAATTTGCTGAGCCCTGGCCCCCCATCTTTTGTCAACTTCAGAGTGTGGCCATGGATTTGGCCATCACACACTCCCCCACTTCCTGATCTTCCCTCTGGCACCGAGAAAGGTAATCAGCAGTGGTGTTGTCCTTGCCGGGGATGTAGTGAACCTTAAACCGAAATGGCTGCATAGCAAGGTACCATCTGGTGATTCTCCCATTAGTGTCCTTCATTCTTTCTAGCCACTGGAGGGCTCTGTGATCAGTCTGAAGTGTGAATTCTCTTCCTAGCAAATAATATTTGAATGAGTCAAGGGCCCATTTAATAGCCAAGGCTTCCTTCTCCACGGTTGCATAGCGCCCCTCTCTTGGCAGCAGCTTGCGGCTGATGTAGGCAACTGGATGTTGGTCCTCCAGTGGTCCCTGCAGAAGCACTGCCCCAAGGCCTCTTTCAGAAGCATCAGTCTGCAACACAAAGTCTTTTGCAAAATCAGGTGAGTGCAAAACTGGATTCTTACTCAGAGATTGGCTAATGTCCTTAAATGCTGCAATAGCCTCTGCTGTCCACTGAATTTTAGTGGGACTTCTGGAGCCTGTCATGTCTGTTAGGAATGCTGCTCTAGCTGAAAAATTAGGAATGAATCTGTGGTAGAATGCAGCCATGCCAAGAAAAGACCGCAGCTGTTTCCTGGTTTGTGGGAGCGGACAGGATGCTATCGCATTGATTTTATCAACTTGAGGTTTCAGAGTACCACCTCCAATGGTGTACCCCAGGTACTGTATTTCTGTCCTGGCAAGAGCACACTTTGCTGGATTGATGGTAAGGCCTGCTAAACGCAGCCGATCCAGGACCTCCTTTAGATGGTGAACATGCTCTTCCCAAGTTGCACTGAAAACCACAACATCATCAAGGTATGCACAGGTGAATGCTGAGAGCCCAGAGAGTACCTGATCCATTAGTCTTTGAAATGTTGCTGGGGCCCCATGGAGACCGAATGGCAGGACTGTGAACTCGAACAATCCCCAGGGGGTGCGAAACGCTGTCAGCTCCTGGGACTGTTTAGTGAGAGGCACCTGCCAGTACCCCTTAGACAGATCAATAGTTGTTAAGTATCTTGCTGCCCCCAGGTGCTCAATGAGGTCATCAATACGTGGCATTGGGTAAGAGTCAAATTTTGATATAGAGTTGAGGTACCTGAAGTCAATGCAAAATCTTATTTTGCCATCCTTTTTCGGAACCAACACAACAGGGTTGCACCACTCACTTGTTGAAGGTTGGATGATTCCTAGAGACAGCATGAGGTCCATCTCCTCCTTCAGCTCCACCCGGAAGCGTTCGGGTATCCTGTAACTCATACGCTTTATGGCAGCATCTGGTTTTAAAACAATGCTGTGCTCCACCAGAGTGGTGCGACCTGGACACTCTTGAAATATGTCAGAAGTAATAAGAGGTGTTACCTGAGACTGTTGCTCGCTGGTGAGATGGCTTAGGTCCAGCACAGAGGATGTTACTGAGGGCAAATAGTCATTAACTTCTTCCTCCTCCTCCACTCTGTGAATAAGCAACACCTCACTCTCATTCTCCTTCCTTGGAACCCACTCCTTGAGAAGGTTAACATGGAGCACTCGACTCCCTCGCTGGAGACCTGGTGTAGAGACTTGATAGGTAGTAGGTCCAGTTTTCCTCAGTACCTTCAAAGGGTCCCTGCCATTTTGCTAGCAACTTGCTGTCAGAAGTTGGCAACATTACCAAAACCTTCTGGCCAGGAGCAAAACTTCTGTGGCGCGCTTTCTTGTCAAACCAAACCTTTTGGTGTTTCTGAGCAGCTGCCATGTGACTCTGAGCCAACTCACTCATTTGCTGCAGTTTATCCCTCATATGGAGAACAAATGAAATAATGTTGACTGGATCCTCTTTACTCTGATCTCCCTCCCATGCATCTCTCAGCAGGGTCAGAGGGCCCCTCACATCATGGCCATAGAGGAGCTCAAATGGGGAGAAACCAGTGGAAGCCTGAGGAACCTCCCTGTAGGCAAAAAGGAGGTATGGCAACCACTGGTCCCAATCAGAGCCTGTATCATTCACAAACTTACGTAGCATTTGTTTGAGAGTTTGGTTAAAACGCTCCGTCAGGCCATCCGTCTGTGGGTGGTATGGTGTTGTCCTCATGCTCCTGATGCCCAACAGCTTATAGACCTGTTTCAAGAGTGTGGACATAAAGTTAGTGCCCTGATCGGTTAAAATCTCCTGTGGAAATCCAACCCTCGAGAAAAATTGAACCAGTGAGGAAGCCACATGTTTTGCTTTAACAGTCTTTAGTGGAAAAACTTCAGGATATC